GTCCAAGTCTTATAAGGAGTCTACCCATCTCATTAACCACCGATTTAAGAAATTTGTCATTATTTGACAGTATGTTACTGAGTTTATAATGTTCTTAAGATGATACATGTCCTCGTGTGATTCTATGATTTGGCCGAGTTAAAACTTTGGAAATTTGTATATAATGTTGCTGTTTCTCTGTTCAAGTTTGCTTTGTTATTTTTCCTCTTGTATGCTTGTTTGAAGGTTGCTGAATTCCTATTGTTTCGTTCTCATTTTCTTTAACATCAAAGAGTGCATTTACTCGGTTACTGTTAAGGGCGTTTTGATTTCGAAAATAGGGGAAGATCTTAAACCATTTGTTTGTCGTTTTATTGTTTGTTGTTGTAAGCAGTTGGTTTTCTCCATTTTTTAAAATCCTATGATTGTCTTACTATCCAACATGCTTTGTTCAGTTTGAGGCTATATTTCTATTTGGTTTAGAGTTTAGTCACAATATTTACCATTTGTATTCGAGTTTTGTCTAATGTAATTTTTTAACAGATTATTCGAGAATGCATAAGTGATATCTTGGTCATTGTTTGGATTTTTCTCCATAAAGTTTGTCGTAATTCCCTTTTAAAATGGTTAACATTTTTTAAGTTATGTTGTTTAGATAAATAGCACTAGGAGTGGGAATTGGATTTCCATCTAGGTTCTTTTTTATCATAATTTGTTCATCACTTTCTTTTCAAACTTTAAAGTACCTCCTCTCTTGGCTCGTGATTAAAATTCAGTGTCTGCATATTTTAGTCTTAATGTGTGTCTCTTTAAAATTTTACTCATAGATTTGTCTTGAAAGTTAGATTGTTATTTTTAAGTTGTTGGGATCATGTTATTTTTAAATATGTTTTATCTAAGTGTGTGAAAAATTTCTTTCCGTTTCAATTCTCTAAATGATTGAGCATGAGATGTGTATTAATTTTTCAAGACTAAATTAATGAAAGGACTGTATAAAGATCAGCTGCAGAACATTAGTGATGCTTTTGATGCCTATGTTCTCTGTTAATACTTGTAGTCTTGAATAAGTTGTATCACAATTATCTCTAATTGAATACATACTTATATATACGAATTGTTAAAATCCTTCACTTATTCCTTTTCCCTTTATTTTTGATACATTTGACAACAATCCAAGTCCATTTTGGACTCATTCCCTGCATTTCGTTTACTTGAGATCCTTATCGAGTGAAGCAAGATACGGGAAAAAATCAAATGACATATTTCAGAGGTTTAAATAGGCTGTATTTTATTTGATAGGAAGTCCAATATTCAGGAAAATCAGTCAAGATATGACCCGTATACATCAGTATACACTCTGTGTATACACAGATTTCATAGGCAAAAATGGGGTCAAAGCCCAATACAATTGCAGCAGCAGCCCAATCAGTTGGGCTGTGAGGGTTAGGGGCCTAGAAAGGCCCAAACTCATTATTTTCTTTCATTACTTGATTACATTTTACTTGCAAATTGTTTGGTTCGATTTTGTGTTAGGTCTAACCTTTGTTTTGTTTTGGTTTAACTAAATTAAATTCCCCAAAAGATGAACTATAATCTTTATGTTAGTTTATTTTGACAAAATTCATTATTTTTATTGAATATCTTTAAAATGGGTTTCATACTTATATAACTGAATTGGTTTAAATTGGTATTTAAAAACATATCAAATAAATTTTAATCTATCTAATTTAGTAAAATCTAAATCGCTTGAAATTTATTACAAATATTTGAATTAATATCCTCTTTTATTAAAAAAAATTTAAAATGTTCTTTGTTTAACTATTTCCTCGAGTTAATTACTTTTCTAAAAAATAGTCAAATGCCTTAAAAACCTTCTTGAAGCGTAAATAAGAACCTCTTACCCATAAAGATTTAATCCGTTAAACTCTTTTTAAATTAAGTTTTCTTAATTTCTTTAAAAATTAAATGGAGACTCTTTTCTAAGTATTTTTCTTAAAATGTTTTATACTAAAAACATTTCAAAAGAGATTTTTCTAAAAACAGTAAAATAACGGCATAACAATTATAGCTTGTTAAGAGTTGTTATAGTTTAATGGAGTCCTCTTGGGGAATGATAGGTTTTTTATTGTTATGTATGGTGATACAAATATGTGATATTATAGGCTTGAATTGTTTTGGAGAAAATGTAGTTAATAGTGAAAGATGAATGTTGCCTTGTTATATATGTAGTATTTCATAGTTGTCCTTGTGTAGATTGGAGTCTTTGTATAGGCTTAATCCTGAGAAGGGAAGGTAGTGTGCTTACCTTGTAAGGTGATTATTAAGTATGCTAGTTAATGAAAGAATCCTTATGACTAGTTGATGAGTCCATGTATGAACCTATTTTAAGAGTGGGGAAAAGGGGAAGAAAGGGTTTTATTCCATAAGTGGGGATTATGTTTGACTCTGAAGTTGACTTAGAGGGATGTATGACAAATATCTACACACATGTTTTGAATGGATTGGAACACAATCATATGAAATTCATGACTATTTTTTGACTTATCTAACGTCTTAAATCTAAAGATAACCTATCAAGTATCAATTGATCACACTTTTTGATAAAAGCAAATGAAATATTTTATCAAATGTGCTAATAGAACATTGTGTTTTAATCAATACATTGAAAAGCTCCATGAAGACCTAATCTCCCCTCCAAGAAAAAGGGAAAAAAACAAGAAGGAACAAAATGCAAAAAAGTTGAAGTTCATACAATAATTTTGACCATGAGAAGAACAATAGAAAAGTGTTGCACAACAAGGAGCATAACTGAATATTGATCGTAGAACAATCTTTTAGATTTAGTATACTACAATACTTCACTTGTTTTTAAAAATTGAACCCCCGAGTCATTACTTATTGACCTCATAATCAAGCTGAATCACACATTATGACTTTTTTTTAATTTGTTGGTGATATAGTTATTGTAGAATTATATTCAACCTCTATGAAAAGTCAAACATAATGCTTTCATATGTCCATGAAACCAGTCATGATAGGAGGGGATGAGTTTTGATTGTCATGCTAATATGATTGATTCTCCTGAACAAAAACTTTTATATTACAAGTGAGCGTAAATATACATATTTAATAATTTTTTATCATCAAAAGAAAACACAATTTTGCAGTTCCACTTAGTAATGAAAATTACATATAAAATATCTTATGAGTTAAATAGTTCTCTAGTTAATTGACTTTAATCGACATAGGGGACAATACATTGTTCCAGTCAATCGTACAACAAAAAGTATAAAAGGCTCATGCGTAATATTAGACATTTACAAAAGTGATTAAAGTTAACTTTAGATGCCTGCCCTACAATCTTATGTATGAAAAAGTTAATAATAGATAAATGGACATCATGTTGTACAACATAATAAATGAATCAAGCAAAAAGAATTCACGAAAACAATAAGGAAGAAACATTTGTTGGATTACTTCCTGGAAGAAACTTTTGGATTAGCTAGCTGGTTTAACTTCTTATTACTACTACTTCTCCCTGTTGAGAAACTCTACTTTGAACTGCTCTCTTATCCTTTCTCTTTGGTCTGTAACTAGGGATTTTTAAAAAAAAAGTGACATTAAGGTTTCAAAATAAATGGGTGGTGACATTAGTCTTAAGTATTGGGTGTAGGTGATAATTATGTGATTAATGATTAAGTATTGTGGAGTTGCCCTCAAGTTTATAAGTTGACAGTTTGGTCCACTAAATTAAATGAAGGGTAAAAGGGTAATTTCACAATATCGTAATTTAACCTACTTTTATTTGGAATTAAATGAGGGATAAAATGATAAATTGACTATACCAAACATAATTTAACCAATTTTGGTGGGAAATATCTAGCCAAAAGAGGAAATCAAAGCTTTTCCCCCGCCTCCATCCGTCGTATTCGTCCTCTTCTTCTTCTTCTTCTTCTTCTTATTCTTATTCTTCTACTCTCGTCTTTGCTTGCTTGCTTGCCTTTCTTCCTGCTCTCTTCATTTTCCTCCTCTTCTTCTTCTTATTTTCATACATTGTGGGTCTTCGCTGTTAGTGCTTGTGCATTCTTCTTCTTGAATCAGTGTTTTACCTAATCTGTAACTGGTGGACCAAATTTCATTTTATTTCAACCGGAATTACTTCATAAGCGATTGGGTTATACACCATTGTTTGTTGTATATAAAATTAATAGTTATTTAAGATCAATTCATTATCATCTAATTTGGTACCAGCAATTTTTTCAATAATTTGCATTCGTGTTTCCAACATATTATTATATATGTTGTAACAGTTGACTATTATAACATATTATAGTCATATAACAACATAATTGTTATTTTTCACAACAGAACAGTCATATGTAGCAACATATGACTTACATCTCACCAAAGAATAGTTATATGTTGCTACATATGATATAACTAAATACCGTTGTCACATGTGATTTATTTTTTACTAAAGAAAGTCAAATGTAGAAATATATGACTTACATCTCGCCACAAAATAGTCATATGTTGCAGCATATGATATAACTAAAAAATTATTGCCGCATGTGATTTATTTTTCACAATTGAACAGTCATATGTAGCAAGATATGACTTTTATATCACCACATAATAGTCATATGTTGCTACATATCATATAACTAAAAAATGTTGTCACAAGTGATTTATTTTTCACAACAGAACAGTCATATGTCATATGTAGATATGACTTAAATATCGTCACAAAATAGTCATATGTTGCTACATATGATATAACTAAAAAATGTAGCCACATGTGATTTATAAAGAAGCAAAGGCGTACGATATATGTGAGTTCAATGACCATTTCAATCAAATAAGAGATTTGGTACCAAATGTTGCTGAATCTTTTGAACGTATTGGATTCCACACATAGAGTAGGGCATTTTGCCCGGGAAATAGGTACCATCTCAATTGAGTTTATTTTGACTTTATATGTTTTGTTTGATTATTATCTTTTGTTGTTTAGATATAACATTATGACATCAAACCTCGCGGAATCGGTGAATGCTATGTTTGATGTTGTAAGAGAATTTCTCATTGTCGCTCTATTTGAGGAAATAAGCAGAAGATTTGCATTGTTATTTCACCAAAGGCGTATGGAACTGGTGCACTACGCAAATAAATTTGTTCCTTCAATTGAAAAAGACATATCAGAGTATGTCAACGTGGGCAACAAGTTGTTGGCCCATCAAATCGCTAACTACAAGTTCAGTGTCACTGGGCATGGAGATGTTGCTAATATGGATCTACAAAGAAGAACTTGTACTTGTAGAATTTTTGATTTGGACAAAATACCTTGTCCACATGCCATGACAGCGATTCGATGCCAACATGGTGCCGATTTTGGAAATCAGATTTACCTGTACTCCTCTCCATATTATTCAGTGGAAAAATACATAATGGCATATTGTCAAGAAATTCACCCGGTGCCAAATGAAGTGTAACAACATGTTTAGTCGGTTCGAGCAGTAGAATTATTTTTGATAAAAACTGACTGGGTCGACCGATCACGCGACGGACCATCATGGTCACAACGGACCGTGATGGACTCCGTCGTCCCATACTTGTATAATTTCTTCTGCTGCTCTCCTCATTACCCTCGACGACAGGTAGGACGAACCGTCATAGGCACAACGGTCTGTCGAGCGTCTCCGTTCCAAAACACTTCAACTCTTGGAATATGGGTACGGGGATCGATTCTCTGAACTTTGTGAACCTGCAGGACGGATCGTCATAGATACGACGGACCGTCACAAGCTACGTAACCCCGACTTTGTCAGACGTCCGCTAAAAGTTTTAAAGGGGTGTTTCGGACTATTCATGATTATAATTATTAAATTAGTGAGGTAAGTTTAATAATTTATGTAGTTGGGGATTAAAGAAGATTATAGGGAATAAATAGTGGGTTAGTTTATCATAATTGCTTATATGATAATTAGGGTAAAGGAAAAAGAATCTATAGAAGAAAAAAAAGAACAGAAATGGGGGAACAGCAAGAGAGAGAGAACGAAGAGGACAACAAAGGCATTGGGAAGGTAGCTTGCTTGATCACGATTCTTCGATGGAGGTATGTTATGGTTTATTTCTATGTGATAGATAAACTCTAAATAGTGATCGATATGTATTGGGTGGTATTGTAAAGTCTTATATGTGCTTGACTGTGTGTTTGTATGTTTTGATTGTGTAATTGTGGTGGGTTAGAATGATGAGACTGTTGAATCTTCAATATTAATTCCTCTCTATTAAGATGACGCCTTGACATAAAGAAGGCTTGACGAAATAAAAATAATGAGATAAATGGATCGGAGTGTCACGTTCCAACACGGTAATATTGGATCGGAGTGTCACGTTCTGACACGGTAGTATTAGGGGATCGGAGTGTCACATTTCGACAAGGTATATGGGATAGGAGTGTCACGTTCCGACACGATATTAATAAAGAGAAGTAATCTTGAATTATGTTAATATACTCAAATTCGAAGAACCTATTTCCCAAATGAGTATAGTGTGGAGGCTTGAGTCCTCATAGGTGTGCTTGGTGTTGTTGCCAATGGTTCTTGTACTTGTTGATTGTCACCTGTTAAGTATTGTGGTTGATTTTATAATATTATTCAGTATATATTGCTTTCTATTTTGAGTTGGCCGATAAAACCTACTCAGTACGTGTTCCTTGTACTGACCCCTACTTGTATTTTCATCTTGCTGTTTTATGGAGTGCAGCAAGTGCACCATCGACTTCGACTCGCCCTCAACTCTAGCCAGTCTCCAGCATATCAGATTTCAGGGTGAGTTATTATTCCTAGCTCGGACTGGATTCTCTCCCTCACGTCTTGATATCTTGAAGTTCGGACATGGACCAATTTTTTTTAACTTATTTTATCTTCTTAAATACTCTTAGATTTAGAAATTTGAGGATAGATGTTCTTGGTGTGATGAATTCCTGATTTTTGGAATAATAAATATTAAACTTTAGAAGTTTATTTAATTGATTGAGTTACTAAGTTTTGGATCTTCCGCATTATTTTTACTATTCATAATTGATATACTGGTAAATGTTGGGGTTTAGATTTGTTGGTTCGCTCACCTAGGAGGATAAGTGTGGGTGCCACTCGCGGCTCGTTTTGGGTCGTGACAAACTTGGTATCAGAGTGTTAGGTTTGTTGATCTCATCACACAAGAACGAGTCTAGTAGAGTCTTGAGGAACGGTAGGGGGACGCCCTTACTTTTCTTTGAGAGGCTATAGGACTTTAGGAAAATTCCATTCTTTCTTCTTTTCGTGCTATTACTTGGATCGAATTGGTATCTATGTGATACAAATTGGTATCTGACATCCTCACTCTATTTCGCTGATGGTTAGAACCAGAGCAACAACTGTGCCAACACCAACACCGGCAAGACAGGGTGCGTCTGAGCCAACCATTGGGGCTGTAGCTCGAGGAGGAGTAGTGGAAAGAGGCCGTGGTAGAGGTCGCAGGAGGACGCCCTCTAGAGGTAGAGGACAAACACCCGGTCCAGCTAGTAATAGGGCGGTGACTCCTCCACCGACTGATGAGGTAGTGAGAGAGGGTGAAGAAGGGGAAAACAAGCTGGTTCAAGATGAGGAATTACCACCCCAACCTACCCCAGAGATGATTAACCAGGTTCTTACTTATCTTAGCGGGTTATCTGATCAGGGCCAGACACCTCCAGTGTTTTCTGCACCAGCACCTCAGGTTCCGGGAGTACAACATGCAACTGCTGTGGCTCACCGCATGGATGCCTCATTAGAAGTAAGCACGTTTCCTCTATTGACTACAGGGTCTATAATGACGAGTGATCAACATGAACTTTTCACTAAATTCTTAAAGTTGAAACCTCCAGTCTTCAAGGGTGCTGAATCTGAGGATGCCTATGATTTTCTGGTTGATTGTCATGAGCTTCTACATAAGATGGACATAGTAAAACGATTTGGTGTTGAGTTTGTGACCAATCAGTTTCAGGGGAATGCCAAAATGTGGTGGCAGTCGTATGTTGAGTGTCAACCAGCACAGGCACCACCTATGACTTGGGCATCATTCTCTAGCTTATTTATGGAGAAGTATATACCCTTGACTTTGAGGGAGAAGAGGAGAGATGTGTTCCTAATCCTAGAGCAAGGCAGGATGTCTGTTACTACTTTTGAGGCTAAATTTCGTGCACTATTTAGGTATGCCACCCAGCTTTGCTTCAGTCCACAAGAGCGGATTCGCCGTTTTGTGAAAGGATTGAGGTTAGATTTGCAGATCCCAGCCTTACAGGTAGCTGCTGCAGCAAAATCCTTTCAGGAAGTGGTTGATTTTGTGATAGAGGTGGAGGGGGTGAAGCCAGACGACTTCACCATGATGTCAACATCTAAGAAGTTCCGTAAGAGAGGTGAGTTTAGTGGTTTTTACTCTACAGGGCAGAGTTCAGGAGGCTACCCAGCCCGACCTATTCAGTCTTCACTGCAGGCTGTAGCTGGGGGTCAATCGCAGACCAGTCAGCATTTCTTTGAGTTTGGAGGTTATCCCCAGACTTTGTCATTCTCACACAGACCTATGCTTGACTCCAGAAATTGTTATGGATGTAAAGAGACTGGACATATTAGGAAATATTGTCCAAAACGGAGTTACAGACCCCCAATACTTAGAGGTAGAGGTGGTCATGGGAGAGGCCGCCATTCTGGAGGACGTGGTGGCCAAGGTAATGGTGGTCACCAAATCAGCCGGGGTGGCGGGCAAGCTGGAACTACTGAAGGACTATGATATTACTATTTTTTATCACCTAGGAAAAGCTAATGTTGTGGCAGATGATTTAAGTAGAAAAGCATGGAGCATGGGAAGTCTAGCCCACTTACAGGTTTCTAGATGCCCATTGTCTAGAGAGGTTCAGACTCTGGCTAATGACTTTATGAGGCTGGAAGTACTAGAGAAGGGATGATTTTTTGCCTGTGTGGAGGCAAGATCTTCTTTTCTTGACAAGTTTAAGGGAAAACAGTTTACTAATGAGAAACTGATCAGAATTCGAGATATGGTATTACGAGGAGAGGCTAAAGAGGCAATAATTGATGAGGAAGGCGTTTTGAGAATTAAGGGAAGGGTATGTGTGCCCCATGTTGATAATTTGATTCACACTATTCTTACAGAGGCTCATAGTTCAAGGTATTCTATACATCCTGGTGCAACCAAGATGTATCGTGACCTAAAGCAACATTTTTGATGGAGTAGAATGAAGCATGACATTATTGATTTTGTTGCCCAATGCCCGACTTGTCAGCAGGTAATGTATGAACACCAGAGGCCCAGAGGAAAACTTCAAAAAATGCCCATTCCTAAATGGAAATGGAAAAGAATTGCAATGGATTTTGTGGTTGGTCTTCCAAAGACATTGGGTAAGTTTGATTATATTTGGGTAATTATTGACAGATTAAATAAGTCTGCTCACTTCATTCTGGTCAAGGTGACTTACAATGTAGAGAAGTTAGCCAAACTCTATATCTCAGAAATTGTTCGATTGCATGGAGTTCCACTTTCCATCATATCAGATAGAGGTACGCAATTTACTTCTACGTTTTGGAGAACATTGCATACTGAATTAGGTACTAGGTTGGATCTTAGTACTGCAATTCACCCTAAGACCGATGGTCAGTCTGAGCGAACGATTCAGGTGTTAGAGGATATGCTTCGTGCATGTGTGATAGAATTTGGTGGTCATTGGGATAACTTCTTACCCTTAGTAGAGTTTTCATACAATAATAGCTATCACTCAAGTATTGATATGGCCCCATTTGAGGCACTGTATGGGAGGAGATGTAGGTCTCCCATTGGTTGGTTTGATGTATTTGAGGTGAGACCATGGGGTACCGATCTTTTGAGGGAATCATTAGATAAAGTAAAATTCATTCAGGAGAAGCTTCTAGCAGCTCAGAACAGGCAGAAAGAATATGCAGATCGAAAGGTTAGGGACTTGGATTTTATGGAGGGTGAACAAGTCTTGCTGAAGGTCTCACCCATGAAAGGGGCGATGCGGTTTGGTAAGCGAGGTAAGCTTAGTCCAAGAAATATTGGTCCATTTGAAGTTCTGAAGCGCGTGGTGGAGGTGGCTTATGAATTGGCATTGCCTCCAGGACTCTCAGGGGTGCACCCGGTATTTAATGTGTCTATGCTGAAAAACTACCATGGGATGGAAACTACATTATTCGTTGGGATTCAATTCTTCTTGATGAGAATTTGTCTTATGAAGAGGAGCCTAATGCTATTTTAGATAGAGAGGTCCGCAAGTTGAGATCAAAGGAGATTGCATCTATCAAGGTTCAATGGAAGAATCGGCCAGTTGAAGAGTCCACTTGGGAGAATGAGGCTGATATGCAAGAAAGATATCCACATCTTTTTACAGATTCAGGTACTCTTTCTCGCCCTTGATTTTATTCCTGTGATCGTTCGAGGA